TTTTCCCACCTTCTCCGGCTGGTGTGGCCACCTAAACCAACCTTCTATTGCAGCACTTTTACAACTTGACAGGCCTTGCTGGAGGCAGGCATCAACAGCACCAGCAGAGGTCAGACTATAAATAAGTTTAAGTGTGGGGAGCTCTTTGATTTGTCACAGCAGACGCTGTTTCTTTTTATTTTCCCAAACAAACGTGGTCCACGGCCGATCTCTCAGGGAAGTGTTGAATCTTTCTGATTATTTCTATGCACCAGCCGCGACCATCGAACTCCCTGTGATGAAAAGGTCAGACAGACCTGGTTTATCAACTTATGGAAAAATGTTTCTCTCAAACACATTATTCTTTTAGTTGATAGAAGAAAAAGGGGGGAAAATAAACATGAAATATTGATGGAAAAAACTGGGCAAGTTTAGTGATTTATTATTAATATATATATTAAAAAACAACACATCAGTTACAGGAGGGCTGTGACATCACTGGATGGGATGGGTGATGTCATGATCTTCAACCAATGAGAACCAGAACTGACGGGGACAGAAAAAAAGGAAAACGCTACCAAACACTCAAATATCAGCTGGGCCACAAGGTGGCGTCACAGCAACAGACCATGGCTTCACAGGGGATTTTGTTTTTCTTCCTCTAAGTGTAAACACACACAGACTGGAGATGACTTTAAATGGACCACAGATGTGAACGCTTGTTGGTCCCTGTATGTGGCGCTCTAATTGACTGATGACCCGTCTGGGTTTAACCCCGCGTCCCCCGGGGAGCCGGCGGGGATCGGTTCCATCTTTCCCTTCGACCCATAACAGGATAAAGCAGTCGAAGATGAATAAATTGAGGGAACTGTATTCCAGTGATTCCCGCCACTGCATTATTGGCATTCACGGCGTCTCGGCACCACAGGAACTGTTCTGGAATTCACCGTACGCCGACTCCAACACTTCATTTGTCTGCAGCGCTGTGTGCAAAAAGCACAGCCTTCCAAGGGATGATTTGCAATCCATGTATAATTAATCAAATCTTGGTGAAACTATAATATATTATTAGAAAGATCTCCCCATGGCGCCCCCAGGCGCAAAAAAATCTGGTGTTTCATTTTTCACCGTGCTGTTGGAGCGAACAGGTGGTCCATCCATCGATTCCCCTCGCTGGAACGTCACGGAAAAAAAAAAAAAAAAACCCACACATTTTTGGACTGATATCATGGCAGGAGCTGTTGTTTCAGCATGTTACAAAACATGGCAGATCCATAACACACACCAGGGAATCCGCCCCCCCCCCGGGCCCCTCCTCCTCCCCCTCCATCATCCATGTTCAGCTCAGGGTGGTTTTCAAGGCTCAGCCGTTAAAAAACACTTTATGTAAGTTTGCTGAAAGTGCTGCGATGCTGCGATGCTAGGAGAGAGAAATTAGACGGCAGACTGGAAAAACAGTCTGTGTTTAAGAGACGCTCTTAAACCCCGGAGCTCAACCTTCAAGGTCGAACTGCTTATCACACACACACACACACACAGATACAGTACACAATGGGACAAAAGGTAATCTGTGCTAAAGGAGATCACACGGCGACTGACGCACAGACGTTTCTCCGACACACACACCGTGTCAGGTCTAATATCTGAAACCGTTCCACCGCTGTCAAAGCGGAAATATGAAAAATTAAAGTGTCATATATACAGGACGGAAGTGTTAAATGGCCGAAGGCGAGATCCGACCACAACACAAGGCTCTCCTTCAATCATTGATCAGCTGTTGTCAGCCTTTCACCTCCTGGTGCACGGTGTCAAATAAACCCCGGGTTTGATACATGCAGGAGGACGATGTGGTGGAAGAAAAAAAAAAAAGAAAAAAAAATGTTGTTTTTCCTCTGTGCTTGTTCTTGTTTTGTTTTGCTTCATAATGTAGGTGAACATTTCTTCTGGCTGCAGCCGAACTCCATCCCTGTCAGACGGTGCCGTCTCTCAGCCCCGTCCAAATGTTAACACATTAAAGAGTAAAAAAATAAAAACAAAACATCCCTTAAGCGATGGAGGACGATTTGCATCCAAATTGCCGGGCTTCATTCATAATTGCTGGCATGCATAATGTGGAGCATAAAGATTCCAGAGAACAGACAACGTAAGTGATGATTAATGGTAGTTATTTAGCTCAATTAATCACACGGAGAAATGTGAGAATTCACATTCTGAGACAGGCCGCGGTAACGTGTCTCCATGAGCCCACGGTGTTCTAACAACCAAACAAAGATTTGTATTTTTTTCTTGGATTTCCAGCAGGCGTTGGATTCTGTGTTGTCTGACACAGAGGTCACTGTGAAATCCCTGGGTTCTTCACACCCAGATTTGCAGTTGTACAAACCCACTGTGTAACTCCCATCTATAAATGATGCATCTGGAGGGCATGCTTCCTCCTTCGTGCTCAGCCTCCTTTTCTCTCTCTCTCTTTTTTTTCAAGCAGCTGCTCAAATTGGTCATTAAAGTGGATTCCATCGTCTTATTTAGACGCACACCATCAAAGCGGCCATATGCACAACAGCTTTATAATAGCTGTATAAAATCCGGTGGCCTTTAACACTGTGCTGAACACAAAATTATGTGGCAAAAAATAAATCTAATTACGCAGCTATTCAGCATCAAAAGCTTCGCCTGCAGAGAGGGCTCAGAAGAAAAAGGGCCAAGAAAAGGAGAGAGGGAAAAACAAGGAGGACTCTGGCTGTGTGTTTGGAGATAGGACACACACACACACACACACTTCCTGTCTTCACACACACACACTCATGTTTGCGCAAATAAATGTGACAACAAACAGAGTGGAAGCATTCTGAACACAGCCTCAAACGGATTTAGTGACATGATACGTTAGCGCTGATTTCACAGAAACGCAGCGTCAATATTAACGATAAAAGAGACGAAATAACAACATCTGTCGAGCTCTAATAAAAGTGGGATTCCTGCTTTGATGTAGGAACAATGACTAAAGGTTTCAGGCTGCACAGCCCTGACATCACTGCTGCAGGTTCTTCTCTGTGACCTACGGTCGGCTCTCCGACTATTTATGGAAGATGAGATTTGATCTTAGGGCAAAAGTTAGCGTTTTATTTTAGCCTAAGAAACTCTAAGTCATTAAGATTCTAAAAAAGGGGCATTTAAATCCACTGCAGTTCAACATTAGTGGAAAAATCCAGAGCAGCAGCAGAAAGATGACGTGGTTAGCAAAATTAGCTAATCAGGCTAACACCCGAGCTCCATGAAGATAACATTAAAATGAAACTTTCTATTCACCACGAAAAAGAAACTGAAAAATAAAACACTTTTTTTGAACCATAATGAAAAATGAAAAATCCTCCAATCCTGATTTTATGTTTTAAAATGGGTGTAATTTTAACAGTTTGGCAGAAAACAGTCGGAGCTGGACGGCTTGGACAAAGTCAAGTGGGGCAGCTGTAACACCAAGGCAGTCAGCCACTGCTGATTGGCTGGGATTTTTTCTTCTTTTTTTTTTGTAACAAAAATCTGAGACTTTAGATTGATGTCCATGCAATTTTGGCATAAAACACTTCAAAATCTTCAGTTAAATTTCAGTTATTATTTTAGTGAAACTCTGTATTTTCTCTGTCGCTGAATTTCTCTCTGTTCATTTAAAAATTATTTTCTTTAAAACGTACAGTTGTACTTCCATGTGAAGTACAAGATGATACTTATTTACATGCAGTTTCTCCAACTGCCACTAGCTGCTCATCATATTTAATCTCCACGTAATTTTAAAAAATGTCACGACTTAATTGACAGTTTTATAAAAAGGTTTTAAACGTATAAAAACGTCAACCTGCTTCAAATAAATAAATAAATAAATAAATATGTTTTTATGTCTTTGATGGTAAAAATACCCAGTGATCAAAGTTTGGAGTACGCGGCATGTACTCCCTGACACCCGGTGACAGAACTGGTAGAGACTGAAGTACCTGCAGAGTATTTTAAGCACTGCTGAGTATGTGCCAGAAAGAATTAAGTTGACAAGTTAAAAACATGGCACCACATGGGGGCGTGAGAGGAGCAGAGAGGACAGTGGGAGAGAGTCACATCAAATATTAAGACGAGGAGAGAGAGAGAGAGAGAGAGGGAGGTAATACTGCCCCATTGTTGAAGGATGATTAAATTTTCAAAATAAAACGTCTTTTTTCTTAGTATCAAAGTCTGACCTTTGACCTGTAGTTCTGAAACAGGAAGATTATCTTTGAATGAAAACAGTGAAGAGATTTGACTGGAATCTTTTTGGAATGAAGTCAATTAGTAAAAACTGAAGTCCTTTTTTTTTTTTTCCACTGTGTCACACTACATCCAAAGGTCCCCGAACCAGGGGTTGGGAACCCCGTGATGAAGAGTGAAGGTGTTCACCAATGACAATATAACCGATCTTCACCTCTTTGTAAAAATAGAGAGCAAATATAAACACCAGCGACTCCTGACCCCCCCCGACCCCCCGATCATACATTTGTCAAAGTGCGGTGTTGGACAGGAAGCGTTACCTCCACGGGGAACCTCCTGCCACCGATGCTGTGCTCGGAGCCCGCTGATCCATTATTCTGGCCCCAGTGAAATTCCATCTTTTCAGCCTTAAAGCGCCCCGGCAGCCCGGCCCCTCTGACGAAGTAGTCGTCCTTCAGGAGAACAGCCACTGTGGGGGGAAAAAAAAAAAAAAAAAAAAGTTTTCAGTCAGGTGACTGCAGCAGTGTTTTTATGTGTATTTATATGAGAGAAGATCATTTTTTAGATTCAGTCTGTGTTTTTAATCAGGACTGATACGGAGATGATTAAAGTCTAATTAAAGTATTTGTAAATCAGAGATTCACTGAAATGGATCTGCTTTATTTAGAAATAACAGGAAAATCAAAATTAACACCTCGACTGTGTTCATTAATTTATTAGATTAAAGCTTTTACCACATTTTCCGCACGGGCAGAAGGACACAGTTCATTCTCATATCACTGCTCTAATACACACAGTACACAGTACACAGTACACAGTACACAGTACACATGTACTTCTGATTCAGCCTTCAGTTTTCATGCACTGCAGGAGAAAAAAAAAACCTGGATCTTAAAATACCATCTGAACTCCCAGAATGCATTTGTACAGGCTTCTACTTCCGGTCAGAGGAGTCAGACCAGACCAATCGAGTGCAGATCACTGTGAGTGATCGATACTGAAGACGACGACTTCACTGACACAAACACGGTGAAATCCATCAACTCTACGCAGCTACGTTTATGTTGTAGTTTTGGACTTTGTTCGTGATATTTTTCCATCATAAAAACGTCATTTTTCAACAATGTACAAAATGTTTTTTTTTATGTATTAAAGAATGTTAATTAATGATTAAGTGACATGAACTTTTGGTCGTTATCCAATATTGTCCAAACAATTTCCGATTCCGATATAAACTGATATACCGATGTAGCGAGGCAGTGGTGCCCTGGTGGTTGAAGAAGTGAAGTGCTGCCTGCTCATTAAGGTGATTGGTTAAAGCAGTGATTCTCAATGAGTACAGATAAATAAATTAAGATCTTCATATACAGGTGTTTTTCCCCAAAACTATTTTTAGATCTCACAACATTTGGTGAAACCCAGGAATTGCGGAGGAAAAAATGTTAACGATTCTTACAGATATGACCTAATTACGCTAATATCGTGTCGATATTATCGGACATCCCTATTAACCACGATTAATCGTACATTATCCACAGTTTCCCTGTGATTAATCTGATGAGTTCTCTTCATCATCGTTGGACAGTGTCAGTAAATACATACACACTTCATCTGCTCATCATTTTTCTTTTCATGCTAACACTGGATTTCAATTTGGACGCTGATTTTTTTCCCAGGAATCAAAGCAGCGGCCATTGATCAAATAAATTACATTTCTCTCCTTAATTAGAATTTCAAAAAGAAGCCACAAAGGTAGAAGATCTGAAATGTTTCTGCCTGTTAACCCACAGCAGAAAGGCCCGGCGTTTTTAATGCCATCTCGCCGGAGTATAAATTCATCATTAGATGAAAAGATGGAGGCGCTGATGTTCTCTTTGTGAGAGCAGCAGCCAGTCTCCTGTGGCCTTCACATCCCATCAGCTGACTGGAGGACGTTGCTGTGAGCATATTCAGACGCAGCCATTCTCTATTAAACCTGCTGCATGGTTCACTAGGAAGATATAATAGCGTTCACCTTTTTTGTCATCTTCTCCCTCCACCTGCACGCCTTTTTTTAAGAGCTGTAATAACGTTGCTTCCGCTTGAAGCCCAGCATTAGCCAGCAATCTTACATTTTCTCACAGGTAGAATCCAGAAATACAAAAGTTTTGCTGAAGTTATAAAGTTATAAAAATACAGTCGTGCCGAAAAAATAAATAAAATAAGGATAGGATATTGGCATTTTTGGGGCAGGTGCCACATTTGTACGAAAACACATCTTCAGCTCCGTCTGATTTGGATGCATTTTTTGGGAGAGTATAAAAAAAAATAATAATAATAAAATAAACGTGTTTTTTCTTCTTTAAAAGGCAGTAATGTAAACATATTATTTTGTGCAATTTCATTGACTGTTAAATGACATGTCTGGTAGAAATCAATGGCTCAGATAGCCTCAGGTCCCTATCATTATGAATGAGCTGTGGAAATGTGATGTTGGAGAGGCCGGACATGAGAGGCTGCCTCTGAATACTGATGGCTGTTTGCTCTGACAGGTAAACTAAATATTTATATTAGGAAGTGTAAAATACATTTGTGTCAATTTTCCTTAGGGCTCGGATTCCGTATATTAGACGTCACACATTCAGGACGGGAATGTTTATGGAAACACTTCCACTGTGTTCCAAACGTCGATACGAACTCGACACATGCCATCAATCAACACCAATAATCCTGAAATGAGAAATATGGAAAACACCAGCGTATTTTCACTACACTTTCTTTCAACGTAAACTGGAACCTCGACTGTTGAACAACATTTTGAACTAAAAAATTGCCCCGGTTGTCGTACCGTAACTCGGTCGCCGAACGAGCCAACGACACCAAGTTACGACTGATTCTGGATCAACCAGAAGTAGTATTTCAGAGACAATGATTTGTGAGAAAGCGAATCGAATATCGTCCAATCAGGACTCCTCAGCTGCGATCAGGACGAATCAAATTCCCTCTTCTATTTACAGCTTTAGTCTTTATTCAGTTGTGTTCATTTTTTGTGTTAGATCTAATCGTTTTCATTGGTTTCCTCTTCAGAAAATACTGTAGAAACAGATAAATAATCAATAATCTGAATGATTTAAATAATCAATCATCCAGGAACTGATCAATCCATTTTATATTAATAATTATATTAATAATAATTGTTTCAGTTTTCAAACTTTTCGGTTCACGAACGACCTTCAGAAACGAAGTTCAAAAACCGAGGTTCCACTGTTTTTGTCAAACCTACTCCGTTTCTGGTTGTTTTATCCCTGAGCAGAAAAGTACCACAGGAGGGTCCGTCTGTGGGGGGGTGGGGGGGGCTGAGGGGGGGCTCTGGGATGCCCTCACCTGAAGACGACTTTGGCCGAGAGGCTGGACGACTTTGGCAGAGAGACTGTGGGGATTCATTATAGTGTGGCCAACACGTGTGAGCGCTCCAGAAAAGAGGACCCAGGAGAGCAGAAGATCTGAGAACCTGCTGCTACCACGGACGACCTGATCTCCTTGTCTCCAGGCGAAAAAAAAAAAAAAAAAAAAAGAAGAAGAAGGATCTAACCCCCGGTATCACATGCTAGTGCTGCTAACACTGACGGCTCTCAGCATGAAGGAGCAGATCTTAGATGGAGGGGATTTCAAAGACTAAAAGCATTAGGTTGAAGGAAAAAAACAATCGATACTAAAGAGAGCAGAGAAACATCCAGAAAGAAAAAAAAACACAAAATGCATCGAAGGAGAACGAAACACGTCCCTGTTTGACTGTTACTGATGTAAAAAAAAAGAATTATAAAAATAGTAGTAACCAGTGGTCATGTTACTGCTGCACTGAGTTAAAATGAAAGGAGTTAAAATGACTGAGTTCAAATGACTGAGTTAAAATGAAGGAGTTAAAATGA